CGGCCCGTATTCCTTGTGGCGTAATGCTCTGGAAGAATTAACTGCTGTGGGCTAAGAGCAATTTATTGCTGACTGGGGGAATGTCTACAAGAGGGCTGCAGGCTTTAAACTTAACTCTAATGAAACTCCAGCCTGTAAGTTAAAAAGGAGAAAAACTGGATGCTGCCATGAAGATGCAATCTGAAGAGCACTTGTTGCCACACCACTGCTCACCCCCAAGGAGCAGGACCGAAGCGATGCTCCCATCCAGGCGCCAGCGGAGCGTGATGCTCTGGGCTGGGGCTGCGGGGCACAGCCAGCCCTTGCTCTGCGCCGGGTCCCCACACGGAGCTGATCTGCGGGAGCAGCCAGCCCTGCTGTGCTGGAGAAAGGCCACTTTGTTCAGCGCTATGGGAGATGAGACAGCGTCCTTCGGCTGCGCGCACCGCGCTCCATCGCTTTGAGCTGTGCTGTCCCTCTCCGCGGGGGCTGGAATATCACTCTTTTATGAACCGACGTCAGCAATGACGACCAGCGGCGCAGCGAGAGGCTGCTGGCAGAGGCGCTGCAAATACTCCCCCGCGGACAGAGCCGTGCTTCGCCCCCGATTTCTGCCTCGCAGCCTCTCTGGAGCACAGAGACATGGGGTATTTTGAGCATCCTCGACAGCGGCGAATGAGGCGGACTCCAACCCCCCAGCCACGAGCATCTCCCCGGCTCTTTATTTCCAAGGACAGGAACAAGCCTTTGCAGGCTTTTCACGCGGCGGGTGCACACCTGCAAATGTTTCTGGTGGGGAGCTGGGTGGTGTGTTATTCTCCAGAGAGCCTCAGTAACTGGGTGCACGAGGGGGCTGCGTAGCTCCTGCTGCCCCACGCCACGGCCCTTTAGATGTGACTGTGTGTGTAACTCGTACAGCCAGCAGCTGCTGCGGTCAGTGGTGGCCAGCCCCATCCTCTCCTCACCTTGCTGTTTGCTTCTGTTGCTCAGTTAAGTTCCTTTCTTACACATTTTTACCCCGTTAGTAAGGATGGACCACTAGGACCCTGCTTTGGTGGGGGACACAAGACACTGTACACTTCAGGGGCTCTTGGTGGAGGAAGCTAAATCCTGGGCTTCAGTTGCAGGGTGGAAAGCTTGGGTTTATCCACACATCTGGGCCGTGGAGCAGAACACCCCAGATCGCCCGACAGAGGTGCTCTGATGCCCCCGACACCCGGGCCCTCGGCTGAGGCAGCGGGGCCGACGGCACAGCCACCCCCCGCGCTGCGGGACAGCAAGGGGAGACCGCACAAGAGACACACAGGAGGCTGAATTTATGTAAAAAAAAATTTTTTTTTAAAAAAAAAAGAAAAAGTTATTTATTTTGGAGGAGGATTTGAACATCGACATGCAGGTACAACATGAATAAAAATTATTGCACCGCTATTATGTGGCAATTGTTCAAGTTTCTAAAAACACAGAAATTCCACACTTTCTCTTATCTAGCTAAGTGCTGAGTGGCACAGCTTGGCAGAGCCCAGCGCAGGAGGTGCTCTCACAGCCACCTGGATATGGTAACCGAACACAACATAGTAAACACACACTGCTGTCAAATCTTCTACTAGAAGTACAGAGTTATCCTTCACATCCAGTAAGAGAAAACCAGAGAAAGACTTTATCCTCCCCCCTTCAGAAGAAAAAAAATAAAATTAAAATTCTCCAAATCACACCTTAATGCCAGTGTGGCAACCAAAACCACTGGTCACTCCTACCCCTTTCCCAGCAAGCGCTCTTTAGTATATTTGCAGCCAAAGGCCTCTGACATTCGGACCCCGGAGTGGCCGTTACAATGCTAAAGTCTAATATTTACAATAAATATCATCCATTTCTCTAAGTTTGCAACAGTAAGAGACAAAGGGAAAAATAACACTGAAATGAGGGACGGTGCAGGGATGCGCCAGCTGGATGCAGGAGCAGGGAGGAGCTGCGAAGGCTGGGCCCAGCTTTCGTGCCGCCATCCCAAAGCGGACGAGGAGCAGGGGATGCATCCAAGCCGACTGCAGGGAACAGGGAGAACGTAGCAGGAAAGCAGCGTATTTGGGTGGTTATAGGCACGGCTCATTCACCAAACACACACCACACACACGCAACTCCGACCTCCCGCCCGCCTGACTCAGGGTTCTCTGGGGAGGCCAAGTCCTTGGCTTGCTGAACGCTCCGCTTGGGAACCACGGGTCCCATCCTGCACTGGGGAACGCGCTCTCGCTTTTCACACATGGCTTTTCCAACGCCTCATTCCTCCCCAACATGTTCTGCAAGCTTATCTGAGGAGGCATTTAAGCAATGCTTAGCAGGGCAAGGAATAAGGCTTGGTGTATCTACCTGGTCTATTATCACAATTTTACAGAAAGAGTCGTTTTGCCCAAACTTTTTACTGAGGTGCACCATGTAAATTTGACAGAAGGTGGAACCGGGACGATGGGGCACCTGGCACACCAAGGGAAACCGCAGGACCGACCAGGAGCAGGGGACACAGGGCTTCATCAGGATGCTTTCCTGGTAACTGTTTGGCTTTGGCTTCCAAAAAAACCAGGGTTTTTTTAATTGCATGATCAGTTTCTGTACCGTAGCTACACAAGAGGTGATGAAACACATGCCTCACCTCTTCTTCAGCCAATTCAGGCAAAAGCAGCAAAAGCTGTGACACAGCAAGGTTTTCCACTTCTTTTTTTAATGCATGAGAAAGGATAACGCTGCGATTCAGCACTGGAACCACCGGCTGCAAAGGGAGGGAGTCAGCAGCTAACACAGCCGGTACCTTCCGGGGCTCCCAGCCCACCCTGTGTGGGTAAGTACCAGATCCTACCAAGTCCATTCCTTACTTGCTATTGCTCCAAACCAGCACAGAATGATGCTCATCAGCACGAGAGCTTTGAGAGGCTGGAGATACCCAGGACCCTGACAAGGCAGTGGAAATATTGCGCTTTATAACTGCAAGCCAAGTGTATACGAGTAGCCTACGGATTCCAGGAAAAAGAGCAAAGAGACAGCACAGCAGGCTCTGCTCTCGATACCATCACAGCAAGATTTATTAACGTGTTATCTGGGAGCGTTGAGGCTTTGGTTAGTGTATCAACAACACCATACATGTTCACACAGACACACAGAGTAAACGCTCACTTAAACATGTTAAAAAAAAAAAAAAAAAAGCTCAAACAAAACCAAAACTTGGTCCAAAAATGAAATCCAAGCAGCCAAAATCAAGTATATAATGGGGGGAAACATCGGCTATACAGAAAGAAGCAGGGTGAGATTCCAGAGATTTTTGTGATTTGTGGATTGAGCTGAAATCAAGTTGAAAGAGATGGAGAAAATACATTCCTGTATAAAAACATATTTGCATTTAGGGGAAGCGAACTAAAACTTCAAGTTCAGAAAAAGCCAAGACAAAGAAGCAGGCAGCAGTGTGATGAAATCAGACCAACAGAGGCAGGTTTTAGCTTGAAATACTGTTGCACAGTCATTCTGCTTCTGACAGAGTAAGCCAGTGAGCAGGATACGAGAGCTTGCGGTGATCCGCAGGGAGTGACACTCAGACGAGACTAGAATAAAAGCCGAGCACAATCTGGGACGAACGACGGGAGTGTTCATTGCGAGGAGCCTTGAACTGGATGAAGAAATGGCTTACAGTGCTACAGGTATCACCACTCCACACATTTATTGGTGTATTATTATTGATCTAATCCTCAGCAAAGAGCACTGTTATCCAGAGTCGGTCACACTTAAAGCAAAGCAATGTCTAAACCTAAGAGCAAAGAGTAACTTTTTAATGGAAAGTGACCTCAGCAGTGGAAATGATCTAGCTATCAAAGCTGAAATCTTAAAATATCACGTGTTTTGACGTCTGCTTGCAGCTTGTCCACAGGACTCCAGGAGTCAGAACTCTTCATAGGTTTTTCCGGTTTTAAAATGGGGAGATTCAGAAAACTCAGCAAGTTTCCCAAGCCCCAGTTCAGAAATGTTAAGGAACACCTTTAAAATCCCTACCTATTTAGACTCATCAAGAGAAGGAAAAGTCTCCAAAGGTCATTTATCATTGAGACAACTTTGCCTGAGACACACTGGAGAACACACCACTACAAATGTCTCTACTTTAAAATCAACCTACAAGGCACCCCTCCTCTAGGGTCATTTATTCTGAGGCAGGGCAAGTTACGAATTGAACCCAGAGAAAGGAAGATAAAACATCACTAAAATTTAAAAAGAGAGGGAAAAGTTGCCATGTGTCCCATAAAGGATAAGTAAAAACAATCCCCCCCCCCCCCAAAAAAAAACAGTTTACAGATCAAACATTTCTCTTTCTGACAATTCCATTGAAAAAGACTTTTACTTGATTTAAAGAGGAGCCCAGGATCTGCCTGACCCTCCAGCCATGTCCCCTGCCTCTGTATCCTCCAAGGACATGTGCGGGACTGCGAATGCATGCAGTGACAAAGAGGTCTGACTTGCACCGATGAGGGTCTGTCGCTCCAGAACAACTTGCAGACAAGAGAGTAGTTTCTTCTCCTCATCAAAGGACTTCAGATTGTAAATTCAAAGAAAACTCTTGAAATTTGTGAATTCCAATGGCATTTCAAATAGAAGGTTGAAAAGAAATTTATAAGTAAGCTGTCTTTTTTGTACTCAGAATTTTGGGGATCTCCGATAAATGCAGGATTAGAGGGAAGAGCACAACAGGCCCTAAACTCAGGCAAAATAAAAGATCTGGAAGGGGGGGGGGAAATATAAAAATCAACAAACTGTTTCCTAAGTCCTGCTTTAAAGATACCCTGTTCTAAAGAGACCTCAAACAGCAAGCATTACTGTGTACAAAAATAGAATAGCAAGGATGAAAAAACACAAAAAACAGTATGAAAAAACCCCTCCCAAAAATAGATGTACACAAGTTCTATTTTATATTAGTGTATATTACAAAATTCAAACATGCAGTCTCTATTTTGGATGTAGAATGCTCCAGTCCACGCGTACCAGGGACGCTGCTATGTTTTCTTTACAGCAACATCATGTGACAGGGGAAAGTCTTGTATTTTTAACTGATTTCCAACCTCTTTGCTTTTTGCTTGCGCGAGGGTCCCTTCTTTACAGGGCCTCGTGCTGCCATCTGGCAGAGGAGAGGCTCTCAGAGCTGCTTGTCCGAGAGCATGAGACGGCTCCTGCGGCGGAGTGATTTTGTAGCTACCTCCCAACACTTCCAACGTTTTAGCACTGCAAGACGTCACCTCCTTTTTTGCCACCACCGGACACGTTGCCTCCCAGGGCTTTGCTGAGTTTAACGACTCGGCGCAGGACCTGCTCCTTGTGGTCAGACCATCTGCACTTGGCAGTTTGGCTTTCTCTTGACAGGCTTGTGAAGTTTCCTGTCTTTTTTGTTTCGAATCTCTCTCTTCTTTACAGGAGACACCCAAACTGGGGAAATCCTTTCTCTTTTCCACCTCTCCAGAACCAGACATACTGAGCTTCAGAGGGCCTAACACGCTCTGAGCCAGCGGCACTAACTGGGACACGGAGAGAGCTCTTTCGATAGCACCGGGGACGAGGAGTGTGGAGGACACCAGACCTGCCGGGCTCGCTTTGCTGGCGGTCGAAGCACTCTCTGCCTGGGGCAGGTTGGGCTGCTTTTCAGTACTGGGGCTTTTTGGGGACATTTCGCTTGCACTTCCAGGAGATAGCAATGAGGTGCTGTGCCGTTCTGTGGGCTGAAGCATCTCCTTGTGATCCTTCTCACTGCGATCCGCGGGGCTTACCGAGAGGGGAGTGCTCACGCTTGCCGTGCACCACGAAGAAAGTGCCAGCAGAGGTTTGGAATCCTGCTTTTTCTGACTGCTTTCTGCTAGCAGAGGGTTTTTCAGGTCAAGTTTACCACACGAGGCCTCTGAAGAGTCACCTTCTTCAGGTTCCAGGAGTTTGACAGACGGGCACTGTGTATGTTCTGCGCGATCTAATGTTTTTTGAGTGCTTGTAGTTCTCCCTAAGTCTTTGATAGCTTCAGAAGACATGTCTTTTGGACCAAAACACTCAAAAGTTTTGTTTTCTGGCAATGTATGTTCCTTTGCAGTTGTTTCTGATCTTAGGAATGGTTTTTCTAAATTAGCTAATTTTTCTGGAGAAGTTCTTGGGAGGACCTCTGATGGGGGAGGATGCACGCCGATTTGCAGTGGCTCTGAAACAGGCTTGGCTTGTTGATTATTTCCCTTCTGCAAATCGTCTGTACCTTTTGGATCCTCAGGTAGAAAGGCATCATCTTCAATACTATCCTTGCTTTCCAATTTAGATGAAAACTTATTATCCTCATTAAAAGAATCTGAGCCTTGGTCTCCACTGTCAGGGGGCTTGTCCAGTCTTCTCCCATCCTGACTATCTTCTGAACCATCATCTGTTTCATCTTCGGAAGAATCGACTTCTCTGATGGCCTCCTGCTTTTGCAAAGACTCCCTCCTCTCCACCCTGTCCTGTCGAATAGCACCCAACTTCCGTGACCCCGGCTTCTGCAACATCCCTTTTTCCGCTAGCCCAAGTTTGCCACCTGTTGTTTCATTCGCAGATTCTTGCAAGCTCTGGAGACTAGGATCCCTCTGGAGCATCTCCTTCTTAAATTCAGAGTGAGAGATATCCAAGCTGTGCTTACGGGAGGAAGCCAGCTTCTTCTCAGAAGAGGACAGCGAGGCAGCCAGTTTCTCAGCTGACTGCACTCTCTTTAGCAAAGGAGACCTAGGGGGCTCAGCACTTTTGGGGCGAGAAATCTGTCTCACCAGCGGTGGAGAGGAGTGTAGTTTTACTGGAAAAGACTGGATAATACTGGAGCTGCCAACTGAGTGTCCTGGTAAAGGAGACGGGGAGCGCTGCGGTGATGTGGACTGTGGGGTTGGCGACGGAGTGTGAGCTAGTGGTGACAGAGGGATGTTTCCTGCAGATTTACGCCTTGGAGATCTGTACTGCCTTTGAAGCTTTGGTGCTAGTCCATGCAGAGAGCTGGGTCGGATGTGTCCAGAGCTGGCTGGAGAATTGGGAACACTGGAACTTGGAGAGCTGCTCTGGGAAGAATTGCCACCAACTTAAAAGGAGAGGAAAAAAAAAAAGGTAAGAAGATTAATATATATTTGGCCATTAAAACCAGTTATTGAAAATAAGACATGCAAAGTCAAGACAAAATACCACTTTACCACAAAACACTGTGGTAATATTACAAGGTAATATTCTGCTGTCTGAATGATTTTTCTAAGGAAAAACCCGCAAGCAGATAAACCTTTTGCTTCATTGCTATTCTCAAGATGCAAATCTCTTTATTCCATCAACTGATTCAATTTTCAAATATGACTTTGCCACACTGTTTTGATTCCTTTTCTCTGAACTAATATAGAAAATGTGTCAAACTACTACAAAAACATCGCAACTTACAATAGATATTTGCATCAAAGTGAAAGGATGCTGTAGGCAGCAAATGCATTCATAAAAGGATGTATGGATTTTCATTTTTAAATGAATCAATGAAAGAGAATACACCCATCCTTAAGGTGATCAACATCTTAGCTGTCATTTTACTTCACAAACAGAACTACTACTTGCTGCTGTGTATTCTACTTCAAAAATTAATCAATATGCAAAAATCCTCTCCATTTTTTTTTTCTGTTTGCATGGACTTTTTGTGGGTTTTTTTGTTTTGTTTTGTTTCTTTTTTTACCTGAGTGTACAGACTCAGGAGTGGATCTGTAACTCTGCGTTGGTGACCGAGGAGACAGGTTGTGAGTTGGAGAGCCAGGCACACTTTCTCCAGAAGACAGAGAGCGGTTTAGTGAAGATAAACTCCGACTGGTGTGAAGCAGCGATGCTTGTTTAGTGATCTTCCTCAACAAAGAACTCTTCTTCTTACTGTGGAAGAGCATTCAAAAGTTGTTTACAAGCCCAAATGATTTATTTACCTTTGTTGGCATATTTCAGTCAATTTTATGGCACAGTTAAAGAGAAAAAGAAAAGAAAAAACCTGCTGATAGACATTATCTGCAAATTGATCTGACAAGATCTCTCTCACATTATCTTGGTCACCTATTAAATTTCACAGAGGAAGATCAAAACGAACCTTTCCTGCCCATCCTTAGTTTTGCTCTTCTTGTTTCTACGAGCCATCTTGGATTTGTAGCTGGCTTTTCGAGCTGGACCAACTTTGATGGATGTGTTCTCAAATGGCGTGGTGGAGATGGACACTTTATTTCCACTCTGTCAAAAATGAGACACAGAGACTTGCTTAAAACGTGGCTATGTGAAGCAGATCTCCAGGCTAAGCAGGTAGGCTGCTAGTTTACTGCTGCCTGCCATTTTGTAATCCTTTGTCAAACTCCATTTCCCCCTTTGCATTTCCACTTATCATTTATTATGGAATTGCTGAGAGAGAGCCCTCTTTCGTCAGGCTTTCACAAATGATTAGCTGAAACCCCAGTCAGTAGGTAAAGCTTCCCAGAGCAGACAGAACACAGCACCTGACCTCTTCCATTGAGATCCCAGCTGCCTCGATTTAATACTTGTAATATTTGGAAACTTGAACAAAGTGATATTCTGTCACCAATCCTATTCCCAGTGCTCTGACTGATGGCAGATGTGAGCATATCAGGAATCTATCACAATGCATCTGCAACACAGAGCATGGCTTGTCTCATTCATCTTAAAAAAAAAAAAAATAATAATCCTGATCGCTCCTCTGTTTACAATCCTGAAGACTTCCGTCTCTTGGAACAGTCCAAAACTTTGGGGTTTATTTCTATAAATGGACTCAGCTCAGAAGAGGTATCAAAATGCAAGTCATTTAACTGGATAATTTTAAGACCAACCATTACAAAGCTGCTTTTAAATACCACTAGGAATAATCCTTGAGCAAGCAGTATTAAGAGCTAATAACATTAGCATAGCCTGAAGGCAAAAAATAAAAGCAATTTGCAAAATTTTTAAGGTATTTGTTTCTCAAAGTGATATTTGAGGAAAGGTATACTTAAATCTTTTTAACCTTTGTCTCTATTGCTGACAAAAATTTATCTGACAGGTCCTTATTTCTCACACAAAATATCTGACTTCATCTTAAATTACATGCAGAAATTTTTGATATTTAGGGATCAAGCTGCAGCAATGAGTTTTTGTAAAACAAGGGCCAGGTGCTGTGTACATACCTGTATTTCAGACAATGTCAATTAGACACCTCCGGCATTTTAAACAAGCCGGCTCATATTTTCCAAAGCGTAACTGTGCTGAGTCCCTACCTTCAGAATCAGCTCCACCACTTCCGTGTGCACCAGTCCATGGACCGGCTCCCCGTTGACATGGGTTATCAGATCCCCTTCACGCAGACCTGCTTCGTTTGCTGGACCGCCTTCCTCCACATGCTGACAACAAGAAGGGGATGACTGATTTGAGAGGAGGAATGTACAAGATTGCTGGCCAGATCAGACTCAAAGCCCATCCATCTCAACTCTTGCTGCAGCCAGCATCAGCTGCTCCAAAGACAGGTGAAAGAAACCACTGACTGGCACAGCCAAGCACAAAAATCTGTGCTCTTCCACTCCTCCCCCAGCATCCTGCCAGTCTCTTCCCAATCCAAGGCAGCCAGCCAGGATGCTTAAGCTGATGAAGAGACCAGCTCCTCCCAAAGCAAACGGCTTAACACACTTCCAAAAATTTTCAGCACTCGGGAATGTTAACTAGATACTCCTGATTTCCAGAGAAGCACTCAAATCTTTTTCAATGTCTTTGCATCCCAAATCCAGCATCCTTATATGTACATGCTGGAACCCAAGGCAGCCAACAGATTTTTAAATAAGACTCTGTGCCATGTGTTTAGGGTGCCTATATTACATCTCCTGCCAGAGTTTCTTTTTCCACTTTCCGTCCTTTATCAACCTAACCAGCATCAGATCATTTCCCCCACGAATACATTGCCTTTCCCCATCCCTGTTCAGAAAGATAAGCCTCCTTCACGGTGAGGATACAGATACGCTTGAGAATATTGCAACTCTCCCCCTAGCCAGAAAAGACTACAAATCAGTATCTTGGTAAACTCAGCATTTTTCAAGGAAAGGACAAAGAAGCAAGGGAAAAATGCAGCTTCAGATTATTTTTCTAGGCACAAAAGAGTGTTAAATAATGACCAAAGCATATGAAGTCCAACTTGTCTAATGAACACAGAGATACACGGAAAACAATGAACCACCTTCACCCTGACTCCATTCTCCCTAACTACACAACTCGAACCCCACTGCTTCGGGGTACGGATCACTTCGAGAAGTCATGTACATTAACAAAAAAGGAACACAGAGATCAAGTACCAAAAGTAATGGGAAGGAAGAGATATAGACATGGAAACCAGGCCTTTTAGCATAGCCTGCAACTAAGCCAAGAGCTAAATCCCTAGGCAATCAGCACAGCAGCAGCAATGCTTTAAGGCTTGTAATCAATTCCAAGCGACTGCTTGGAAAACCCCGGCAGACTGAACGGATCAGAAGCAGGCTATAATCACTAACACAGGCCTGAATAAATTAGTTATGACTGGCCCTCATGCAACAACCCCAATAAAGAGAAAAAGCGTATGTACACAGAAACATGCTTTAAAGTATGCGCTACAGGTGAAAGAAGGTGGATTCATGTAACCAGGGAAGCAGGAAGGAAAAAAAAGTTGCTGCGGTTCTGTGATGGGCTTGAAAACTGCTACAGGTAAAACCCAAAGTGCTGTTATTTTTAAAGTGTTTCCCCCACCCCAAAAAGATAACTTTGGGTCTGAACAAAGAAAGAGAAAACAGGGTGGCAAAATACAATTTATGAAGCTAAATTCCCAAACCCTGGCTAAATGCAGTTCTGGCCCCAAGGGTACTCTTTTGAGAAAAGCAGAGACATACCCAGACCATGTGATGCACAGTGTAGATATCACTGTCACCCATATAGACGCGAATGGCACGGAGAGTGAAACCGTATTTCTTTCCAGCCCGATGGATGATGATTGGTGGTTTCAGGTTTGCGATAGCAGGAGAAAAGTCGCGGCTGGGTGAGGAGTCCCTCGAAGATGGGTTGGAGGATAGAGAATGAGGTGACATTGGACTGGCCAATGGAGAACACGTGTGGTGATCTACAGTGATGACACAAAGGTGGGCAAAAATTAGGAAACCAGGACTCCAAAACAGAGAAAATTCTTGTTAGAGAACAGCTAGGAAACCACCTCTCCTAATGCTCTTAAAGCTCGTGGTCTTCACCAGAGCTGGGTTTGCCTGCAGCTTCGACTAATTCATGCTTCGAAATACAAAAACAAGCAGAGTTTCCAAAAATCACACATGGAGGTTTGCATTTAATGCAGCAGCACTGCTCGCCTAGGATTATGGTTGGGTCACAGTGTTTACTGTGTTTACTTCCAGGGATTTAGAACCCATCATCATCATTTGCTTTAGGCACAATCCTGGAACACCCCATTTCAAGGTTATGATGTATTATCCTCCTCTAAAAGATCAGATAGTCTCTGAATCTTGGTGCAAGTTACATGTTGGTGCTGAGATAAATCAAAATCAGTTAGTATTAACACAGAAAAGTCAGTAGGTGATCAGACAACAACTACATCTAGGGAGTATTAGTAGTGTTTTAAATTCATAGGGGCAAAAATATTTAACCCTAAAAAATTCACTACTGCAGGGACTCTGCTACTGAAAAACAACATCACAAGTGTATTTCAGAGAGCATTTCCCAAACAAACTGTCGAAGGCTGGGCTATCAGCTAAACTATCTGACTCTGCTTGCTAGTGGAACAACATTCACTTTTAAAAATACAAGCTGAATATAGAACTCTCATTTTAAAGTGAATCTGATCAACTTCAGTAACATAAACCCAAGGAGCAGGAACACTAAATGCAGCTGTAAAAGGTAATCCCTAATCCATTAAGAAACACCTGCTGAATCGCCCAGCACATATTTACCTGACAGATGAAAGCAGCTCTGGAGCAACCTTTGCTGGGTGATTAAATACACGTTTTAGAGATTTTCAAGAGGGAGTTTGTAGTTTGAAAAGCAACCAATGCCCAACCCACCAGAAACTAAACGTGCATCCCCACGACGGTGCCCAGCAGCAGTTGTGTACCTGCCTCCAGCTTGCCGGCTGAGCGGGGCAGGCAGGCATTGCTCTGCTGGCTTGGCACTCGTGGCCTAGCTGCAATTCCCTGCTCCCGTCTAGAAAGGAACAGGTACAGCCCTGGAAATACAGCAAGGACTTATCCCCTGGAAAGGGGGACAAAGTCCTCCAGGGGAGAGCCTCCTGCTCAACCGGTCTGTCATAGCTCGGCACAGTTGGGCTGTTCACCAGAAGCTACCACCGAGCATTAAGAACTGCCACTGGAGACAGAGCCGGGCCAACAAGGCAAGCTATCCAGCGTCAACTTGCTGTGTGAGTTATCACACTATTGAATTCTTAAACACTCAATCTCAACCAAGTTATCTGGCGTTACTGAAACTTCCCGGTGCAGGACACACCAGACATCCCGTTGCCAAACAACATCGTAGTTAGCACGTGACCTCCAAAAAATAGTACCTTGAGGGTTAAAATCGTTCTGTGTCTCTATACCTCCATGCTGCACCATTGTCCAGAGACCAGCTAGGAGCCAATTTAAAGAAAATTAGGCAAAGAATAAGGCCCAGCTGCCGTTTGCAGAAGCGGCAGTCAGACCACACACACAACGCTCCTGTCTGCGGCAAAGCAGTATTCATTATCCTGCCGAGCAGTAAATATTAAACCGATTGTAAAAGTTAGATCTCTCCCCTCCTGCCAGTGAAGGCATTATTCCAGGAGAGCAAAGGGGGAGGATCTATCTGCAGATCTTTTGTTTAGTGCTTGCAAATTCTGACAATGCCTCACCAGAGGCATTTCTTACCTGAGGGAATCAGGAGAGACAAGGCAGTAGCGGATGCCGATTTAATCACTTTATTGACAGGTCTTGAGGTGCGTTTCTCCCCTGATTCCCCAGAGAGCAACCTGTGTCGTGCCCGCCGCACTGCCAAATCGCTGATGGCTTTTGGAGTGGTGAAGTCTGGGCCTTCATTGCTATTACTGCGAGCGCGTGGATCAGAGAAATCTGCAGTGCTCCCAGCTACAGTTTAAATTAAAACAGATTAGAACCACAGGGAATTCCTAACAGTCTATTCCCCTACAGGCAAAATACATTAAATCAAAGTCATGTTTACATGAAGTCGAAGAGCAAATTTTCCTAAGAAGAAACCCCAGGGCTTGAATTTTTATTTACAGAAATGGTGTTATTCTGAATACAGAAAATTAGCAGCTTCTGTTCTGTTGGAAAAGCTCGCTAATGAAATCACGTTGCTGAGTAGCAGTTACACAAATCCTCACGCTGCGGTGCAGTTCTGCAGGCAAGCCATTTCAATCGGATCGTTCACAGACGAAAACAGGTTTATGGAAAGTGCTCCATTTTTACAACCAGAAAGAACTGTCAATCTTTAAGTTAAAACTGCCTGTAACAGCAGAGCCAGGTTCTACTGGAGTTGCACATAAAAAATCCACTTTAAGAGAATACTAAGGTACTAAAGTCAGGGAAAGCACAAATGTGGATTGCAAAGACAACCTTAATTTGCCCTCTTCTGTGCACCGTTGCGATTTAGTCTTGAATTGCTTAACATGCTATACTTCTGTATAAAATGCAAAGTAATCTTGAAAATCAGACTGGACACGCAACAATAGCAGGTGCTGAGGGCTGGAGTTGCTGTGCTCAAGCTCGGCGCCTCAGTTCCCCCATCTGATACCTTACCTTAAAGGGGCACCGTGAAAATACATTAATTAGAATTTACAAGGTGGTCAGAAATTAAAGTGGTGAGCATCACAGCAAGTCCACAAGGGAAATTAATCGTTCTGTCTTCAAAAGCAAATTTTAAGCAGCGTGCAATAAATAAAGCCTAAGGGCCACATTTTGAACAACGAGGACAGAACAAAACATTGATCATCGTTATTTAAGTGGGCACGACCACTCTGCATACTAAGTAAAGTAGAATGTACCATGAAAATAAAAATTCAAAGCACCATTCCCATAGACCTCAGTACCAGATGCCTGTTCAACATTTAATAGTCACAGTTTCAAATAAGGCTCCCGGGCAATGAGGAACCCAGAATCAGAGGCTGCGCCTGAGAAGGCTGCGATATGCATTAGAGGAGCACTCTGAGACAGTGACAGAAATTAAATTCTTTTCTTGCAGTCCCCTGCCTCTGACTTAACTTCGCAGGCTGGGGACACTGAAGCCATGGTACCCCTGAACTCCACGTGCTGGATTAAAGACTGCTCTAATGCATTAGGCTCAGGGGAGCAGGATCACCAGGGAAGCTTCATTTTTTCCTATTTCAACTTGTAGACACTCAAATTTGCAATGACTGTGTTCTTGCAATTTTTACTAACATGCTTCTAGGCTTTTAGTATGAAATTGAGAAACTAAGGTTCCACTACAGCACCTGTACGTGGCAGCTTGCTTACTTCACTCCTACACCTTTTCCCATGGGTGAATGGAGTATGTGATGGCAGCACCAGGCCTCTTCTGGGAGGATAAGCCATAGAGGGGAATGGACAATTTTGGAGGAAATTTCACAAACTGCATCCCAGAAGAGGAATAATGAGATGTGGGAATTTTTGGCTTTATTCTGGTCTGAAGGCAAATTTCCTCTAAGGCATTTCCACCTTCTGCTATCAATCCACGATCACGTCTGCTCAGTGCCCTTCACCTTGTCTTTGTCCAGTCTTGCTGCCACTCTGACTCCTTGCTCAGTATACCTTTGCTCTCCTCGCACCTCAGCAGCCCAGGGCACCATCATAGGGAAGGTTCAGCTCAGCCCAGTGCTGAAGAATGGCCCCAGCACGGACAAAGCTTCTGAGAAGTCAAACACTGACTTCTAAGACTCACTCTACTAAACCTAGGCTGCACTTTCTTAAGCCTGAAACTTGGTTAAATTTCGGGTTATCTGGCTGAGACAGCAAATAGCATGTCCTTCACACAAGTGTCTATTCCAAACTAGAGCCTTTCAGATACTTAAAATCATAGGAAGCACGGACCTTTTAGTATGGCTGAACACCCATATTCTCCAGCCCCAACTCAGCAGTGATCTGCTCTGACTAATGCTTAACATACTGCTGCCTCAGGTAGGCACCCAGTGGTTGTAAACAGGCATAGATCATACGGGTCTCAAGCATGAAAAGACCTTAATGAATTTGAAGTGAGAAGACTGAAATAAAAGATAAAATTTTGAAGAGATAAACCTGCAATGTTATTTTAAGGACAAGTACAGCCACAAAACTATACTAGAATAACCATTTAGCATGAAACATCCACATCACCCGACATCCAAATCCACACTTATACAGACTTAACATCTGCAAGCTAACACGGCTTTCTTGAGGACCATGACACCATCACACTGAGCACACACCTGACAGCATTGAGGCGCTGCTGACAGCCATGGAGGGGGTAGTGGGTCCAGCTTCGCCTTCCAGCTGCAGCTCCTGCTCCACAGGCTGTTCTGGAATGGGCACTGGCAGCCCCTCACGTGCCTGCACCGCAGATAAGAGCATCCCCTCGGACTGTGGCCTTTTGAGAACTGTTCCCTCATCCTCGGCAGAGATGGCAAAGCGGGGCATATCAAGAAGCCCTGAGCAGCGTCGACGGACTGTCAAGGGTGGGCTGGAGTCGCTCTCCGTGTGTGAAGATTCAGACATAGACAAGCGCTTACGCAATCTGAGAGAGAAAACAAGACAGAGCCCCTCAATTAAGTTAGGACGATAATGAACTTTAAAGGGTGAAAATAGCGCACTGACCCAACTCACACATCTGAAGCCTATATATGGTGAAGTTAGGAGATGAAGATACATCATTAGGACCTAAAACAGCAAAGGCTTGGGGCATCATCTGAGTGTAGATTTCCAACATATTCCATTGTTAAGCTTCTAAGAAAGGAAGAAATAAAACCAAATTCTGGGTATTCATGTATTTTACTGACATTTTTACTAGAACACAAGATTTTTTTTTTTGATGTTCTGAACTTTAGAAACTTTGGACTTTCCTAATGGTTTCACTAATTCGTGACAAATGGTAAAAGTCTGGCAACACCAGACTTTGGATTCACTGATGTTTAACAAAAAAATGCTGTTGGTATGTCTCCAACATAACTAGTCTTTCCACAAATGAAAGCTTTCCTTAAGGTTAGAATCCCTTTAAATTCATTTAAAGTATTTGCTACAAATTCAGATGTTAGTACTTAATTAGGTACATTTAAGGACCATATCACTTCTACACATTTGTTTTCAGCTATTTATTCCACTTTTCAGGCTTCACCTGTGGAATTACATCATATGAAGCATTCCTGACCTAACAGTGGTCATTAGAAAGCTTTGGCAGATGCTATGAGAAATTCTATTATGAGATGCTATGAGATGTTAGTTTTCTCAGATGCTACGAGAAACCAAAGACTTAGTTCTACAGAACTTACATTTCAGGAGATCCAACCACCCAGCTGCGGTCTCGACTCTTCAAGCCACCAAGGCTGTCCAGTCGGTCATCTTTTTCTTCACTTAGACTCCGTTTAGTTGGTGGTGGAGTCTTCCTCTCTTCATGGATGGAAAGACGTTCCATGCTGCTGTACACCTGCATATAGCAAAAGATGGTTCTGTACAGAGAAAACAAACGTACATGGCCTTTTCTGATCAAGGGGCATAATCTCTTCTCAAAATGGAAGACACTCCCTGAAAGCATGAACTAGGCAGTGTTCTTTGACTAAGTAACACAGTGCAGATGCGACATGCGCATAGGAGGAAAGGAAAAAGGCAAACTTCAGAAACATTAATCATGCTTTCCTGCAACAGCACCCTACACCCATCCTCTGAAAACAGCCCAGCACACCACAGAAATACTGAGAATTGTCAAAACTACTTGATTTTTGTTCTTAACAATTCTTAATATCTCTAAGAGGAGATATTGCTAAAGCAGGCTCCACAAGCCTTGAAGGCTGGCATCTGGATCTTGAAATCTTACTACACAAATTCAGTTCGGTGATAGGCATCATGCTCATGACCCCATTTCATTATCATCAATCTATCAGCATTGCCCCAAGCTTATTTCAGAACAAAAAAGTCCTGCCCTCCTCAAGGAATCTACTATAATGCTGACAGCTTAATGAAAGTGCCTTTCTTGGTTTTACAGACGTCTTTAAATAATTAAATGATTAAGCAAAAAAATCTATCCTTTTAAAAGTACACTTGACTGTGGACCTAATTTACATAAGAAGAGATTAATGAAAATAATGTTATTAAAAATTCAGAGCATCAACAAGATAACTATTAATAAATCATATGGCTGAATTGTCAGACAAGAATTTCAAAATATAATGAGCCTTTTATGCCTCCCACATTACAAATGCTGTATAATTTTCCAGGTCTTCAAATAAATTCATTAAAAGTGAACTTTTTCTCTTTGTGGCAAAAACACTGAACCCTAAAGAAAAGCTTCAGTCTAACAGAAGAATAATACTCATGGTGAGAAAAGGCAGAAAAAAGAAACCCTTACATACTCATGAGAACTTTTTCAAAAGCCCAACTAATCCTCAGGTCCAATTTTAAACATACTTTTGGTGATGCAAATCAGGAGCAGCTCCGTAAAATTAATGGCAACTGTTACTTAAACCACTGTAGCCCGGCTGAGGACAAAGAAGAACAAACTACTGCTTCAAAACTGACTTCAGTAGTGGAAATCTGGAGGAACTGTCATGAAAAACTGAAATAGATCTCAGATGCCCTAAGTAAAATTCTTGCTCCCATCTCATTACAAAGAGGGAAATACAATTCATAGAGCGAGCTGACCTCAAAACAGCATTTCTTCTCCCTTCTGCCCCTCCCCAAACATATTTTATTTTATCCAAGCAAACAGTGGAGTTGTACTACTTTGAAACGTCTGGAATTCCAACTTTTGATTTCAGATCACCTGAGTAAGAATGAGACACCTGCACAGATCTGAATCCAGAAAGCATGGCTAGAGGGGACCTGCTTGGGGCTTCCCACCCATTTCCCCATGTCAAAGCAGATCCAGCTCTCTTGTAACACCTGACAGATGTTTCTCCAACCTGTTCTTAAAAGCTGCCAGAGATGGAAATGTTACAAATTCCCCAGGCAACCCATATCAGTGCTTAATTATTGTTCAACATGGGAAATTTTTCTTACCATCTACCCCATACCTCCTTTGTGCCCATCACTTCATATCTGTTCTCGGAAGAACAGGAAGAACAATGTACTCCTTTCCTTCTAGCAGTTATGTATTTAGAAACACATTAGGTTTCACGTTTTGTAGATCCTGGATCGCTCTCGCTGCTCTCCTCTGGACTCTCTTTTACTAGTCCATGTTTACCTTTAAGAACATTACGCAGAACAGGACAGAGTTCCCCAGCTAAGGCCTTCCTACTGCTAAGCAGATGGAAAGGATTTCTTCCTTTCCCTTGCACAAAATATTCGTGCTCGCCCAGTAGGGTAACTGCCTTTTGTTTCAGTAATTTCACATATGTAACTCATGGTGTACTATATGCCCAGACTCTTCTCTTTGAAATTGTCACCTGGTCCTTTGTTCCTCAGTCTGTATTTGAGACAATGAGCAGCAGAGGTGTAAACTTCACCTATGCTCTTACTGCATAGGATCCCTTTGGTTTTAGGCCATCATTCCAAAATGTCAGAATCAATTTTCACTCTAATGCCATCTTGTCATCTTCTGGAAGACCCTTTCAGAATGACACTGTGCAAAGCAAGTAAGGTTTGGACACTCCCTATGCCAGCATCCACGTCATTAGTAAAACCGTCAAACTGTATCAGACGCAGAAGAATGCAGAAGAGACCTCCACAGTACCTTGCATATTAGTGAAACATTAAGAAATACAAAATCTCATTCTCCAATTATTCTGGCACTTATCTTCTAATAGGCCACACACTATCACAGAATAAACAATGTATACACCTTTTTTTCTTCTCTGTGAATACTAAACATCGTGCAACTCCCACATATCATCTGCATGATTAAAATCTACCCCATATGAAACAATGAATCACAGAATCACAGAATAGTAGGGGTTGGAAGGGACCTCTGTGGGTCATCTAGTCCAACCCCCCT